TGAATACACCAACCCAATCTGGTGAGCAGCTTAGTTGTGCCAAATCAAGATGGCCGCCCTATATATACTAGGCCTGCCCCCATCTTAACCAGCCAATCCTAGCCATCCCCACTTAAGCCCACCTCCTAGCCCTGTCAAAACCTCAATTTCACTTTAGCTACACTTGTTCCATGGGGTTACAGGATGGGGGAAAAAATGGGGATACACAAATCAAAATTAACTCCAAGTCAGTGAGCTTGAGGAGGTTGGGGTAATGGAAGTTCAATTGACTTTCTTATAGGGATGGAGGTGGAATATTTGAAAGGGGGAATGATTGGAAATTCAGTTTTAGAAAGATTGTGTAAGACATCCGGTTAGATATAGATATTTCTTAAAGGTATACTATAAGTGCCAGGAATACAAAGCTGTATTTTGTATTCCTATGTGGAAAAAACGGACACTGGGATGTCCTCACGCAGAGTGTGGGAACGTCCAGCGTCAGTAACCAGAACAAAGGTCTGTTAGGATTCAGGAAGTAGCTCCAGTGGTTGTGAGACAGCCATTGGGGGCAGACTTAGTGCTGCATTGTAAACATGGAACTCTGGAACTGCAATATTTAACATTGCTGTACTAAGTACAATAGGGACACTGTACCCATACCAGTTCAATGAGCGAAAGTGGTCTGGGTGCCTACAGTGTTCCTTTAATCCCTTAAGGATACATGACATGTGTGACATGTCATGATTCTCTTTTATTCCAGAAGTTTGGTATCAAAGGGGTTAAGCATTACAGGGGGAAGATAGACTAGGGGGGAGAGGTAAATCGAAATGTGTACTTAGAATACAAATCTATGGACTTGAAAGAAGGGGCATAAATGGAGAACAAAACAGAGCCAAGAACTGAGCTTTGGTGTATAAAAAGTGTAGTGTGAAGGAGGTGGCAAAGATTGTGGGAAAGATTGGATTAGAACCAGAGAATTACAGAGTCTCAAAGGTCAAAGTTGTGGAAGTTTTAAAAAAGGAGTGAGAGGTTGACAGGGTCAAAAGTAGCAGAGAGGTTGATGAGAATTAAAGGAGAGTAATAACCTAGATTTAACAGAAAGGATTTATTTTTTATTTTTTTTATTTAGTAACAGCCATTTCAATAGAATAAAGGAAGAAACCAGAGTGAAGATGGTCAAGGAAAGATTTAGTATTGATAAAGTTAATTAGATAGTTGTATTCAAGCCTAGACAATCTAGACACTTGGAAGTGAGGGGGATATGAATGCTGGATGGTATTTAGAAGTAGAATGGCCTCTTTATGATGAGATTGATTATTGAATTTTTTAAAATCATATGTTTGATTCAAAACTTGGTGAAAAAAGTTGGATAAGGTGAGAAGGGTCACATGTGTTGGGTCAAGAGGCAAAAAAAGTAAAAACACCAGATGTCACGGGGAAAGGTATTTTGAGTGGTTGAAGGAACATAATTAAGTGGAGAAAGGGGAGATAGTCCTAATTAGGTAAATCTGTACAGTGATGTGTACAATTTCTGGCTGCAAGGTTAGTGTGGGGAGGGATTGCAGTGGAGTGGAATAGGGTGTTTAACCCCTTAAGGACCAAACTTCTGGAATAAAGGGAATCATGACATGTCACACTATAGTCACCTGAACAACTTTAGCTTAATGAAGCAGTTTTGGTGTATAGAACATGCCCCTGCAGCCTCACTGCTCAATCCTATGCCATTTAGGAGTTAAATCCCTTTGTTTATGAACCCTAGTCACACCTCCCTGCATGTGACTTGCACAGCCTCCATAAACACTTCCTGTAAAGAGAGCCCTATTAGGCTTTCTTTATTGCAAGTTCTGTTTAATTAAGATTTTCTTATCCCCTGCTATGTTAATAGCTTGCTAGACCCTGCAAGAGCCTCCTGTATGTCATTAAAGTTTAATTTAGAGATTGAGATACAATTATTTAAGGTAAATTACATCTGTTTGAAAGTGAAACCAGTTTTTTTTTTATCATGCAGGCTCTGTCAATCATAGCCAGGGGAGGTGTGGCTAGGGAATAAACAGAAACAAAGTGATTTAACTCCTAAATGAAAGGGAATTGAGCAGTGAAATTGCAGGGGAATGATCTATACACTAAAACTGCTTTATTTAGCTAAAGTAATTTACGTGACTATAGTTAAAGTGTTGAGAAGATGTTTTTGGTCAGGAGATGCTGCTAAGTTAGTAAGATACTCACTGTTTGGTGAGGAAGGTGGCTATAAGAATGTGGCATGAATTTGAAATGAAAGACATCTGTGTTGGTGCAAGACTTATTCCAACAACCTTCATCTGTATGAGAACATCGTTGGAGATATGGTGTTATGTCAAATCCCTGCCTTACACATAACTCACACACTGGAACAGGCCATGCTACAATACAAGGTTGTCACCTTATGTATTCAATTGATAAACCATGCCAAGGAAAAATTAAGTCAGGTCATATTTTGAATTTTGTATAGTAAAGATCCTGTGCATTTCAATGCATATTGTAATGTATGTGGCTTGAAAAAAAGATATTGTACTGTGTTGTACAATTTGTGAATGAGATGTATAAGTCAGTTCTGCAAGAAAAGCTTGACTTGCAGAAATTCAAGGGTGAGGGCCCTAAATAAATAAGCTTGAAATCTATAGGACGTGACATCTAAAAATATGCAGCTTTGCCAGTGTAATACCAATGGGAAAAAGAAAAAAAAATTGATCTCATATACAGACACCTGTGCACACGGGTTTTAGCGTAGAGTTCTGTGGGTGATAAATAGTAAGTTTAAAATGCTATAAAAACAGCTGTCTTCATAAAAACGCCAACTTTTTTTTCACATAATCTCAACAAGTTTCCTGGGTTTAGAAATATAAAAAAATTGTATGAAAAAGCAGCAGCATCAACATGCCATTAACACATGCCTTTATTTCAGTGAAATATACTACTCAAATTCCCAATTCAAGGTAACTTTAAACTTGTTTCTGAAAACCAATGCGTCTAATTTAGCATATCAAACAGAAAATGTCTGTTCCGTTATAAAGCAGTGGTGCTAAGACATCAGTCACAGTGTTGAAAGAATGCACAGAACTTCTATCAGGTTCTCTCCAGAGAATTGTGACAAGATTAGGTTGGGGAAATGTTCCAGTAAGAATTCTTTAAAAAAGTAGGAAAATCAAGAAATGCGCTGACATAAAATCTAAATTGGCTTTAACAAAAATGAAAAAATACAGATCACTCAATTATGTGCCGCTTTTGTTATGGATTATATTTTCATTGACTAAGGGAATGGTTTAAAAGCTAATCGATTTAAAATATTCATCAGTTTCCTAAAATGTCTTGGACGGACTATTTCTTATAAGGGTTCCTCTTAATAGTGGTCAGTAAATCTATGGGACACAGATTTTTTGTGTTTCTTTCCATTTCTTTCCTATTGTAGCAGCACCCCCAGGCATAAAAGGGTTAAACCGCCATTTAGTAGATCTTCCCTTCCAGAGACACAGGCACAGCTACTGTAGAACACCAAACTCCTAAAGTGGATACAAGGGAATGCTCCGAACTCCCGAACTGGAACCTCATGAATAGCTGCTAGCAGCTGAACAGGAAAAGCACCCAAGCGGCTTACACTCCTGGCAATCAGTCTCTAACAGCATACAGTAAATCCCCCCAAGAACGAGACAAAGCTCCGTGTTGAGGGTCAAGCAGGAACAGACAGAGCTGTGGGTTTATTGTTCTTATATACACATTAGTACCACCCACATGGTTTTGGAACACAACCAATAAACACATACAATACACTCAGACACTCCCACACAAAATCCTCCCCTCTGCCTGTGATACAATTACCTTACACAATGGGTAATGTAATTATCACAAGCAGAGAAATACAATTTTCCACATTATTCATAACTTGAAAAGTATGCATCACATTCACATAAACACTTACATTTTCAGAATCAGCATACTCCAAATACAAACATATGTCAAAATCATCCAAATTGGTCCAGTGGTTCAAAAGATAGATCGTAGTCCTTTGTGACCAAAGGAAACATGGCTTTTCTGCCCAAAACCAGTTCCACAGAGTCTTCTATCCTGGAGATAATTTGGAAGTAATCCAATTATCTCCAAGGACAGAGGCAAAACTCCATTGAACACATGGCAGCAAAAGACAATAAAAAAACCAGTTCCACAGAGTCTTCTATCCTGGAGATAATTGGGAAGTAATCCAATTATCTCCAAGGACAGAGGCAAAACTCCATTGAACACATGGCAGCAAAAGACAATAAAACACATAAAAACATATAACTGTGCAGCCATTGCACAAAACAGGTAAATTCAACATATTCCCAGATAGCTCAGATCTTAGCGCACATTATTACAGAATGGCGCTCAGAGCACACACATACAGTTCAATTGCCATGGAGCCAAAGTCTTTCCCATAGTCTTTCATTATACGAATGGGCTCCATGGCATAGCTATCTGGGGTATCACCGCTCAAACAGGGCCAGCACCGAATGACCCGGCTTTCGTGTCTCCACAGGGGAAAATCAAGCGTTTCAACATGGGTCATAGTCTAAAGGCAGCAGGCGGGCAACCAGGCTCCTCCAATGCACAGTGGCGAGATTGATCTCGTCACACCTATCAGCCCAGAATCTTAATTTCTAAGAATAGGATTAAAAATCATACTATTACTTACGCTGGTGGAGTGCCTAAAATGATCTGTCAGCCTTCTAGATGAAGGCTCAGAATCACATAAAAAGGGGGAATATATAATAGTGAAGTACTGCAAAGATAAATGGCCCTATTAGGATCATAGAGAAAAAAATATCTCAATAAATTTATAAATATCCTTTCTAAAATTCAATTTATTAACAAAGCTATAAGCTAATATAATTAATAAAATCAATTATATAAAATACAATCAATAAAAAAAAAAATTACAATAATAAAAAACACAGCTAGAATAAATAATCCATTTAGCCTCTTGCAGGATAAAATTGAAAGAGTATAGGCAGTTAGAGACTGCTATTCACGAGCACCTTTTGTTCCAAATGGAACTCAGTCTGCTGCCGTTGTCCCGAACCATAAATCTTAACTCCTCCATGGAGAGATAATTGGCAGAGCTCCCAGGTGGTTTGTAAAGTGCACTGTGCTCTTTTCTCAGATGCTCTTAGTCCGCGGGCTCTGCGGAAGGTTTCAGGTTTGCGGGATTCCGAAGACGCCATCGCCCACTCTGTTACGTCACTGTGTAACTTGCGCTACTACGTCACTGCGTCTACACTTTTCGCCTATTGGCTTCCTCAGGACGTCAATGTGATCACATCACAAATTTGTCTGTTGTCATTCAAATAAATCTTATTGTAGCACTTTGTGCACACCTGCAATTGGTAACGCTGCCCTCATTTTGTGTATCGATATGCCCTGCTTGGAGCAGCAGAGGGAGGTGCCTGCAGCACAATAAGGACTCATCTTTGTTTTTTGTATACTTGTTTTAGGATACTGCAGTAACACATTCCTCACTTTTATTGTGTCTGTTAGTCTTATTAGCTTCAACATGCTGAATAGCCCAACTCAGTAGCCTCAAGATTTTTCTCAGTGATGTCTGCCTTTCGTCTTAACCTGTAGACTAACACTCTTACACTCAAATATAAGCCACTTAGGCCTAGCCTAAACCTGAGCTGATTTGATATGTGGCAGTTATCTGCCAATCTTCAATTTCCACTTTAACCGCAAAGGACAACTGTCAGCAAATTTTAACTTCTTGTTTGTTCAAAGCTAATTACATTTAATGACTTGATATTTTTAAAATTATGTATATTGCTTTATTGAGAATATGACACTTTATTTCGCGGAGCAGCCATGTTGGGTCAGACTCTACTATTATCTGACCAACTGCTGCTCAACCTAACTTGCCTGCTGCTGTAGGTTGTTCTATGTGAAATTGTATCAGCACCAAGTTAGATTGAGTAGCAGTTGGTCAGATATCAGTAGAGTCTGACCCAACATGGATGTTCAGCCAGATAAAAGTTACATTTTCTCTCTCTCTAAATAAGAGAAAAAAAACCTTACCTGCTACTTATTGGGTTAGTGGCCAGTCCAGGGCAGCCTTCTTATTTTTAAGGTAATGTAAGAATAATTAAATATGACACTTCCCATAACAATTCTTGGGTGAGAGATAACAAAATGACAGTGACTACGTTTGTTCAGGAGATATGAAAGAACGTTTGATGAAGCAATCCATGATTGATATGGGTTCTAATGGGGTCCATTCATAGGAAAAATAACACCCTCAATTTGCTAGTTATGAATTGAATCACTTTCCATATGCATTAATAGATATTTATTTTACATGTAACTTCTCTCCCACATTTTATTAAAAGGATCCATCAGGGATGAGCATAGGAAATCTTTCTAGATTAATCTAAGCTGAAAATGTAATTCCAGTGACTTGATGTCTATAAGCTACAATTAGACATCATAATGTATTAATATGCCATTTAAAATATATCTACGTCCAGTTTTTTCATATGTCCAAACCAAAAAGTATCATTATTTATAATTACTTTTTAATGTTTCTATCACTTAACAAATTGACAAATTGTGTAAAATAAAACTCCACATTACAATATATAGTGGACACTTTCTTTCAGCTGAATTTTTCCAGTTTAGATATTTTGACCTCAAACTTGAAATTCACTCTGAATTGACATTACATTCTTGACAATTCTCAGTTTAGTGAATATCATTGAAGATGACGTGTTAAGAAAGCAGAGATCATGTGTACTGGTGATGTCCCAGGATATGTAGTCAAATCCTTCCATATAGTTGCCTTCTCGCATGGAGCCAGAAGCTACTGCAAGTTGTTTTTATTAGTTCCACTACCCAAAGCCCTACGATGCAGAGCTGGCTCATTGACTGGGAGCATTCTCTGTGCACTGCAGTTTTAATCTTGTGCCCTCTGTGCAAGGATTTCTGGTGGCACAAGATTAGGAGACCGGCTCTCAGAGGATCACAAGTAAGTTGTCAAATTGTTGTCAATCAGTTTGAATACTTAACCTGGAAGGATGCTAGAGTACTCCTGGTACCATAACCACGACAGTAGAGCTTATGGTATTTGGAGTGTTTTTTTAAATTTGTATTAACACCAATTTTTAAATTTTGGGTATTATCAGTGCCATCCAATGTATCTATATTGGGGTAAGGCGCTGAATGCTGAGATATATTCTTTTGTATTCCATGGCGATGGTTCTTAATTTAGATAAAGGCAAAATGAGCACCAAACATAATATTCATATACAAAGACCAATCTTTATTACATAAAAAGCAATACACAAATAAACAATAGCCAATGCTATAATACAAAAACACAAAAATAAGTGACAAAGGCTAGTAGCAATAAACAATAGTGATAAGCAAAAACTTACATAAAGCCTATGGGAGCTGGACACGTGCAACTACAACACCAATGTTTTAGCACCAAGAAATGTGCCTTTCTCAAGGGACAACATGCTACGTTTTTGTATTATATCATTGACTACTATTTATTTGTAATAAAGATTGGTCTTTGTATATTAATATTAAAGTTGGTGTGCATTCTTTTGCCTTTATGTACATTATTTGGCAGTTTAGGGAGTGCCTCTTTAGGATAGCATATTTTTTTCATTTCTTTACAAATTGTCTCTACATATTGTTGTTGCTATTTCGTTCTTTATTTAGAACCTTGTCGCCAAAATAGTAACTGCTTTATTACAAGATTAATTCTTGGCTTTAATTCCATTTTCTGACAGGGTTTACAAGTCTGTAAAATAAACACTGTCACGTGTTTCTAGAGTAGAATGGCTCTATTTACAAAGAACTATTTAAAAGAGAACAACTAAAAGTAAAGTAATCTCCATGGAAACTAATCACATGTTTTTACTAACTGCTAATCTATGGAGTAGTTCTTGCTTTTGATGAGGTAGTAGTATGTTCTGAGCATGTATCCTTCAAGTTAAACAGTAATATAAACTGCCATGGTCTATTTCTCACCTATGGAGCAAAATATTTAGTTGTGCCTGCAAATCCTCTTGTCTGCATACACGTCCTCTAGTGCCAGCCCAAGTCTCAAATCCGGAGACTTTGGTGGCTCACTTCATCCAACATGATGTTACAGAGCTTGTTTGTTTCTGAGGTTATCAACATTTAAAAAGATTTCTTTACAATAATCAGTATGTTGCATGTATGTAACGGTGCATATATATCTGAGCCTTATTCTGCTAGAAAGGAATTTCACTATTAAAATTGTCATACAAACTGATTGTTAAAACCAGTTCCAAACAACCTCAAATTGAAATATCAAAAACAAATCTTCTCCTTTTCCTCCTGTCTTCCTTGTCCTATCAAGTCTTTGGTTGCACTTTTCCCTTTTGTGCATCTCATACATACCCATGTTTTTTTTTCAAACTTAACTAAAACACAGTCTGCTTGGCGTTATGTCTCATTAACTAACATCACATACATAAATTAGACAAACTGTGACAATGATTTTAAATCGGATCTTGATGTTAATCGGATAGTACTTGAAATTACCTGAGCTATAAGTCAGATAAAAGGAAAATTAAGATCTTGACTACCTGTGGGCACCAGACGGGGGAGTTTTAAATAAGTAATAGGTGATGGATTACTGTCCACCCACCTGTAATCAACCAATGCAAGCAGGTGGGGATTTGTGGTCAGCGGGTGCTCAGTTGGTGTGAATGACATAGTATAGAGTTGGTGTAGGGTTAGGGTGTTCAGGGTTAGGATTCGTGTAGTGTTAGGGTTAGGTTTGATGCAGGTTTGGGTCAGTTTAGGTGTAATCCAATACAAGGGGCTCTATATAATGAAATAATTAATGGGTGGGAGGCAGAGGGATAAATGAGGAGCAAAGATATAGTTTATAATAAATTTATATCCATAAAAATATAAGCACACACTAGGCGTATTTAAGTAGAAATACTTTATTAAAGCATTTGTAACGTTTTTATTTATACTTTTATCCTACCTAGTGGAAATGTTTGTGCTACTGTATCTTTAAGAATGTTTAGCAATGAGCCTTATAGTGCATCATGTAACCAGGTAATGGAAACTGTAAGCACAGTTGGATTTGATTGAATTGGATATAACAAAAAGAAAAACCACAACTTGCTCTATCATTTCCCACAAACAGTACTCTGCCAGGCTCTGCCATTTACCCCACAGTTAAAAAAAACCCTAATAAGAGCAAATATGGAGTTTATTTACTAAACTGTAAGTTCGGGTCAATTGATATGACAACACTTATAATATCTATTTTGAACTGGGCTATTTAAGCTAATTTCTGTATCTTCCCGGCCAACTCATCACAACTTATAGCTTAGTGAATATTCCTCTTATGACTGTAATAAAACTAGCTGCTGCGGCCTTTTATTGTGATCGGCCTAAGGCACACCTGTGCTATAATCATGCTGTCTAATCAGCACCTTGATACGCCACACCTGTGACGTGGATGGATTATCTCGGCAAAGGAGAAGTGCTCACTAACACAGATTTTTTGTTTTTTAAAATTCTTTATTTTTGTGGTGCAATCATGGAGTACAGATGTTTGTTGTGCCACAACAGCAGTAACATAAAGAGTGAGGACCATCGTTTAACAGGCTTATGGCATAGAAAAGTATTGCATAAATTTTTTAGGTTAAATTAAGTAAAGTTGCAGGGTTTCATGCTTATCCAACATTTCTAAAGTGTGTTTAAAAGGTTGTCGTCGCTAGTTATCTAGACATGTTGGTAAACTTGCTTAATTAGGTTGAAGAACATGCTTTTGAACTAGGCAAATGCTTGTAAAACAGAGAGTATAACATGCACAGTGCTTACTAGACTAGCCAACAGTTCCTAGCTGAATCATGCTAAGTGCGCTGTAGCTAAGTAGATGATTATGCATTTATATAAACACGTTTGGTATTCATGAGTGAGAGAGGTCGTGTGGAGCTGGAATCCCGATTAAGTGGAGAGACCACAGCTCCGTTGGTCGGAGTTAGCTACAAGCCAGGAGGTTCTTTTCAGCACGGGCAGAGGTGGAATGTGGCTGGGTAAGAAGTTGTGAGTGCTCACTGGATTGTGTTCAGTCCCGGGGTCATTTCATGCCAGGTGGTTTTGTGCCAGGTTGGGTTTTTCAGTCCCAGGTAGAGGCCAGGTTGGGGTCAAGACAGGGTGTCGCTAGGTTCCTTGGCAGCCTTAGTATACTGTGCGTCAGCGTTCTGTGCCTGAATAAGGCCCCCAGCCACCGCTTGTCGTGGGGCTTTCTCCCCCATGCTGTCTCCTTCAGAGTTATGGCTGTGGGGTGTTGCTTGAAGTTGGCCGCTTGGTGGGAGCTCTGGGTGCCTGTGACTTCTCTGCATGGCGGTCAAGTTCCGCCCCCCCACTAACACAGATTTAGACAGATTTGTGAACAATTTTTGAGAGAAATAGGCCTTTTGTGTACCTAAAAAAAGTCTTAGATCTTTGACTTCAGCTCATGAAAAATGGGGGCAAAAACAAAAGCGTTGCGTTTATAATTTTGTTCAGTGTAGATGCGTCTTTGAATCGTACATTGCAAAATCTTCTTGAAACTGAGATATGTTTTAATATTTTTGTCATTATTAATTAGGGATTATTCAAGTGTTTAATGACCGAATAATCTAAATTTTAGTAAAGACAAGAGGCGAATATTTGCTTTACTTTCTTTACTCAAACCTCTCAGCAAAGAAATGGTTCACAGTGTAAACGTTAAATCAACCAATCACAATACAGATATCATATAATAACTGATAGTGAAGCTCCTCCCACTTCCTCTTTCGATGATGCAGCCGCACAAATAAAGTCAACCTTGTGAACGTAAACAATGTCCTCAACCATGTAAACCCGGAATAATAAGCTCAGCTGGAGCCGAAACACCTCCAAAGGGGCAATGTAGAATCTTCACACTGAAATGAAGAAGAAATATTGTGAAAGAATGGTGTCTAATAATCATGGCAA